GAGCTGTTACCCTGGCATGGGGGGGGGGGGAATGGGGGACAGCCCTGCTTGGCACGGGGGGGCTCTGCACCCACAGCCTGTTCCATACCAGGGGTCTGCCCTGATGCAGAGCAGGGGGAGCAGGGGGATGCCAAAGGCTACGGGTGCCAGGGGAGATGCCAGCAGCTGAGCATCAGGATGCCAGCGTCTGTCTCTGCCTCTCTCTTGCAGAGGAAAGGAGAGGAACACAACGACATGGAGCAGATCTCAATCATCGAACGGTTCCCCTACCCCTTCCAGGTGAGTCCTCAACTGCACTCCCTTTGCTGGTCCGCTCTGCCTGGCTGCAGGGTGCTGGGGGGAGGACCCCAGAGGGATCTGGGGCCAAACACAGCATCGCTGCCCCAGTGCCAGGTGTCACTCAGCTCTTTGGGGACGCCCTGCTGCTCTCTGCGCTGCGTGGGGCAGGCGGGTGAGCCTCTGCGAGCCCCGAGGAATGGGACAACTCTATTTAAGGAGGCTGCTTAGATGGAAACCTGCTTCTGAGCTCTGCCCTGCCCCATTCGGTCCCCTGGCTGATGCTGGAGGGATGCTGTCTGCCGGCTGCCCGCTCAGCCCCCAACCCAGCTGCCTGCCCCTGCTGCCACCCAGTGTGGCCCCCAACACACCGAAAGTCAGAGAAGGAAGTGGAAAGTCTCGGGGGAGGGGGCTTATTTATAACTTCTCCGTCACGGTCCCGCGAGTGCTGTGAGGGGCCAGCACACACCAGCACGGCTTGTATCTCTGCACTGGCCGCTCTGGGTGGCCACAAGCCTCGGCTCTCCCCAGCCTCCCCGGGAGACCCCCCAGGCAGGGGGTACTGAGCCATGTGTTCCTGCAGGTGGTATATGACGAAGGGCCCCTCTACGTCTTCTCCCCGACGGAGGAATTGCGCAAACGCTGGATCCATCAGCTGAAGAGCGGTGAGTTTGGGGACCCTGCGGCTCCCTCGGACAGCAAACCCCAGTGCATGTGTCACCGTGCAGAGTGCCGGGTTTCCGGGGGCTCGCTATCTCGTGGTTAACGTTATCCTATGTCTACGGAAGAGTGAGTGCTGATTAGAAACTTCTCCTGTGACCAGCACACTGGTAAAGCTAAGCCCTCACATGCATGCTCCCTAACATCCCTGAGCTGACTGGCACCAGCTGCTCCTGCCCAGAGGAGATGGACACTCACCTCTGTCACCCTCTGCAGCACCGCAGCCACCTCGGCTGAGGCTTCTTGCCCTCTCACAAGCCTGCTCCAAATTAGCTCCACCAGGCTCAGAAGTTATTGAGGGCGAGAGGAAACAGCAGATGTGGCCACACAGCTCTGCTGGCGTCCAAGACAAGGGTAGAGCACCCAGTGCTTTAGGACACACGGACAAAAAGTCTGCTGGAAGCCAGGGAGCGTCTCCCAAACCACCCCAAGCCTTGACTGGTGCTGCTGAGCTAATGCTCAGCTCCATGGGTGCTACCTCCTCGAGCTGAGAGCGTGTTGCAGCCACATTATGCAGTGGGGCTCGGGTTCTTGCAATCAGCTGAAATCAGCTGGAGCTGCCCGTGTGTGTCTCTTGGTACATGTGTATCTTTCTGCGGGTTTGTGCTGGTGGGGTGAGATTAGCTGCTCAAATTGACACAGGGAAGTTTGCCCCAGCGAGGCGGAAGCAGAGCAGAGGAGATAACGGGGAAGTTGGTTACTTCACGAGAGCCCTGCTGCTCTACCCCCGCTGGCAGCCAGCCCTCTCCCCACTTCCCTGCTATGGGAGGGGGGCTGCTGTGGCAGCTGAAGCCAGTAGAAAATCCACAGGGGAAAAGGGGAGAGAAAATGCTGGCCTTTTGCTGCTGGGATGCCCTCATCCTGCACCATCAGAGAAAGGGGTCTCTGCACCCCATGGAGCTGTTGTGGGCCAGCACCGTGCTGCGGTGGTGTTTAGGTACATCCAGTTGTCCCTTTAGTTTGGGGAGAAGGACAAGGAAGCTGATGAGTGCCTGCCAGAATAAGGGAGCAGCCTCCCAGCAAGGGAAGTCTCTGGGCAGCCCAAGTGATGCTGGAGAGGGCTTTTGGCTGGCAGGAGGGCTGGTCACAGCAGGACCTGGCCCTGAAACCCCATGTCTGTGGCTGTCTGCAGAGCTGTCGAAGACCTTTTAATCAATTCTGAAACCCTGGCCCTCCTTGAGCTAGGGATTTCATGGGACAGGGTTTGGGTAGCCACAGCACCGAAACACAAGCAATGAGTTGAGGGAAACTGAAACAGCAGGGCCACATGCGACTGTGTATGAGTAGCACAGCAGAGGGGGAAATGATTTAATGGGGCTGATCATCTGCATTCAGGGAGCAGAGGGCTCCCTGCAGCTCCAGGTCACACACATCTCCCCTCTTCTGCCACAGTGATCCGGTACAACAGCGACCTGGTACAGAAGTATCACCCCTGCTTCTGGATTGATGGCCAGTACCTGTGCTGCTCCCAGACAGCCAAGAACGCCATGGGCTGCCAGATCCTGGAGAGCAGGAACGGCAGTAAGACACTGGGCACCCTCCCTGCCCCCGTCCCCAGCCCCTGGGGACCACCACGGCACGATGCCAGGGATCTCTTCTCACCTTAGTCCCTTTTCTATTCTGAAGGTTTAAAAGTTGGGCGGTCGCATCGCAAGACAAAGAAGCCTCTTCCCCCGACTCCTGAGGAGGACCAGGTAGGGGCCAGTGTCAGCATGTGGGTTTGCTCCAGGCTCTGGAGAGGGATGTCAAGATGGTGCTCTAAAGCAGAAGGAGCTTGAACCAGGGGATGGAGCCCAAAGCTCTGGAGGAAAGTCAAATGACCTCACCCCTGAGGGTCCACAGGCACAGCTGGGAGGATAGAGAAGCCTTGATATAGGGGGAAGGAGTCAAGGGTTAAGCCAAAAGATAGAGAGAAAACACTTATCTTTTGTGAGGATGGGTCTCCAAGGAGGAGGAAACATTGCAATAAAAAGTGCTGGGAGGGAATTGGTCTCCTGGTGGAAATACATTTGGGAGCTGAGACAAACGCTGCACTGACCTGGCCTGAGCCCACCACCCTGCCAGACCTGGGGGGGGTCTCACCTGGGAAACAGTGTGTCTGCCAGCCTCACCGTGTCTTACACTCTCCCTCGCTCTGGGAAAGATGGTGATGAAGCCCCTACCCCCTGAGCCAGCCCCCAGCGCAGCAGGTGAGATGAAGAAGGTGGTGGCCCTCTACAACTACCTGCCGATGAACGCGCAGGACCTGCAACTGCAGAAAGGAGAGGAGTACTTCATCCTGGAGGAAAGCCACCTGCCCTGGTGGAAAGCCCGTGACAAGAATGGGTAAGAGCTCCCGCTGCCCATGGCACTCGCCCCATAACGGTTCCCTCTCCTGGTGCCAAGGCACTGGTGGGCAAACACACCTCCTCAGCTTTGCAGGGGTTAGGACTGCCTGCCTGCCTGCCTGCGGGCTCCTGTGTGGGATGGCTCATGAGGAGAGTGAGGGGGACTGAAGCAGGCTGTGATATCAGCCCTCCCCAAGCATGAACCCAAAAGGGTTCGCGCTGAGGTTTTTGAGCCCATTTCTACTCAGCTTTCTGGGACAGGAACCTGCTTTCCCCCTTGGCCTTCTCCATCAGTGTGTGACTTGCCCCTTTTCTCCTGCAGGAGGGAAGGATACATCCCCAGCAACTATGTCACTGAAACCAGCAATTCCCTGGAGATCTTTGAGTGAGTAAGAGAAGGCGCAGAGACGTGGCGAGTTGTGCTTGGTCAGAGACTATTTAAATTCAGTTCTGCTAACCCATGCAGCATGTGAGCCTGGCTGGGTTGCTCTCCCTCTTGCATAACCTTCAAGAGCTTCTGGCCCCATGTCAGCCATCCGTGCCCTGCTCTCTGTCCTCTCTGGGCCAGGGTCAGACCAGGCTGGGGACATTGGTGGCTGCGGTGATCTCCCTGACAGCTGTGTCCCTGTTCCAGGTGGTACTCAAAGAATATTACTCGGAGCCAAGCGGAGCAACTGCTGAAGCAGGAGGTAAGTGTTGACTCCTGAGGCTGGGTCCTTTCTACACACCCAGAAAGAAAGGACCAACCCTGGCTTGCACTGGGAGGGGAGTGTCACCCCAACAGCCCCAGGAACCATCTCTACCCCAACATGACCTCCTCCTGGCAGGCGCTTTGGGAGGTGGCCCCCAAGCAGGGACTAGCAGTAGGATTCCTCTGACTTATCACACCCTCCCCAGCCACGCTGTGATCTTCACTCACTTTAAGTATTGCCTCTGACAATCACAGCTCCCCACAACCATCCCGTCCCCTCTCCCCTTTCTGTTTTAGGGTAAGGAAGGAGGCTTCATTGTCCGAGACTCCACCAGCAAGACAGGGAAATACACTGTCTCCGTCTATGCCAAGTCCTCTGTGTAAGTGGATCTCAGAACAGCTTGTTCCTACCTCAGGGCCCGATCCCCCCGGGCACCCCTCACCCTCTGCCTGTCCTCCCTGTGCCACTAACCCCATGTACTGTCTCTCCAGAGACCCCCAAGGCACGATCCGCCATTACGTTGTGTACTGCACCCCCCAGAATCAGTATTACCTGGCAGAAAAGCACCTGTTCAACACCATCCCGGAGCTCATCACGTACCATCAGCACAACTCTGGCGGTCAGTGTCTGGGGGACAGAGTGAGGCCAGCAGTGTTTTTACTGACACAACAGTAGGTGCAGCATGGCAATCTACCTTTCTGTGTTTCAGGGCTCATATCCAGACTGAAATACCCCGTGTCTCCACACCAGAAAAGCGCTCCTTCCACAGCTGGCCTCGGCTATGGTAAGCTGGCCTGGGCTACCTCACAGTTCCCTGGTTGCAGGGGTTGGGATCCTGGCTGTCCCATGGCAGCAGGCTCACAGCCTTCCCAGGAATCACTTCCCAACACACACTGTCCCTCTGGTGACAGCAGTGGCCAAGAGATGTCCCAAGCTACTTTGCTCCCCATTCCTTGAGGAACGAGTCTCAGATTTCATGGAATCTGGGGGATGGTTTTTCAGGCAGCACGTGCTCATGAGTTCTTCTTGGGCTTGCTGGATCAGATGACTTGGGAGCACCCCGCAGGGAGGTCACCTGCACCCACGTTACGCTCATGGCTCTTTGTCCTAGGGTCGTGGGAGATTGACCCGAAGGATCTGACCTTCCTGAAGGAGCTGGGGACGGGGCAGTTTGGTGTGGTGAAATACGGGAAATGGAGAGGCCAGTACGACGTTGCTATCAAGATGATCAGGGAGGGCTCCATGTCAGAGGATGAGTTTATCGACGAAGCCAAAGTCATGATGTAAGTGGTAAGCAGCCTGCAGGTCAGTGCTGGATATGCCTTGCCAGAATGGCTGCTCTGCTGGGTGATGTGGAGGGACAATCTCAGGCAGCCTCACACTCTGCAAAATGCATCTGAGAACTTACTGCCTTTGTGCTGATTCCCCACTGAGCTTTTCCACCACCAGCTGGGCCAGGAACACCTTCCCTTCCTAAACTCTCTTTATTCACAGATGCTTCTTTTGCTGCTTGGCCTTCTAGATGCTCAGAATTGTCCTTCTTGTCCCCAACACAGGAACCTATCTCATGAGAAGCTGGTGCAGCTCTACGGGGTCTGCACCAAGCAGCGTCCCATCTTCATCATCACCGAGTACATGGCCAATGGCTGTCTCCTGAACTTCCTGAGGGAAACTCGCCGGCGGTTCCAGCCTGCTGAGCTGCTGGAGATGTGCAAGGACGTCTGTGAAGCTATGGAGTACCTGGAATCCAAGCAGTTCCTGCACCGAGACCTGGTAGGGCTGTGGCTGAAGGACACACTTCCAGCTCAGTGACAGCCACAGCATGTCTTAGACAGGGTCCAGCTAATTCATCAACATGAGGAGAGGCAGCTCTGCAGCCTTCTCTGCAGAACATCCCTCTAAGCTTCCCTGCCCACCTGAGCATGGGTGGGATGCTCTGAAGTCACCACTCTGCAGCAAGCTATCAAAGATTAAAGAAAAAGCAGGACTGAGTAGCTTTCCAGGGGACAGGAAACACATTTGTGGTTAGGGCAGGGTTTGTGTTAGGCAGCACAGGCAGCATCGCTGGCTCAGACATGAAAAGGGACCTCTCAACCCCTGTGAAAAGCTGAGCCTGCAGTTTTTCAGGCCTCGGGCTGGCATTGCCAGCTTGCAGTCCTGCTTGGTGCCATACCTGATCTCCTCTGGTGCTGCTTTGTTCAGGCAAAATCCCGCCTGGGAAGTCACCCCTTCATAGATAAACAGGGTACCTGGAGGTCTCTCTTGCTATCTTTGCTGAGGACTTTGTAGCTTGCCCAAATCCAGGTGAACCTGCAGGACAAAGTGAGGCAAAGTGTTAAATGGGTGGGGGCAAGAGGAAGTTCCAGACGGTGGAGGCAGAAGCGGGTAGGAGTGACTGGCTCCATCTCTCCATTCACAGGCTGCTCGCAATTGTTTGGTGAACGACCAAGGAATCGTGAAAGTATCAGATTTTGGCCTTTCCAGGTCTGGTAGATATATCTGTGTCACCTTCTGTCTCAATCCCCCATCTTCTCCTTCAGTCTCTTCTGCACTTTAGTCTCTTTCCACACCACTCTCCAGCTCTGCTTTTCCTCCATCTTCTTCTTTCAGCTTCATCTATCTGGCTCAGCCTTCTGCCTCTCCACTTCCCAGCATCCCTTTCTTACTTCCTCCATCCCCTTTCCCCCTTTTTTTTGCTTCTTCTTTCCCCCACCTCTGGTCTCCTGGCTGCAGCTTTCTCTCCACATCCCCTTTTTGCCGTGCTTCTGTGTCACTCTATCCCTTCCCTGGTTTTGACTAATGTATATTTGTTTGCAAAGGGATATTTCTGCCAGCTGCAGAGTGCAACCTCTGGTCACTCTGAGAGCTGTCGATTCCTTTGGGGCTTGGTCTGTTCCCTGGAGGAGTGAAATGTGAAATCCAGGACAGGCACCCTGATCCATTTATCTGCTGCAGGTACGTTCTAGATGATGAATATACAAGCTCCATGGGGTCAAAGTTTCCAGTGCGGTGGTCTCCACCTGAAGTGCTTCTTTACAGCAAGTTCAGCAGCAAGTCTGACGTCTGGGCTTTTGGTAAGAGTGTGGCACTAATGACGTTGTGGTTGGGAGGAGAGGGTGCCCCAACACCAGTGAGCTCCTCTGCAAACTAGCTTCGGGCAGAGGCGCCGCCATGCCATGAACTCTCCCTGCCGTTTCCTGTCACAGGAGTTCTGATGTGGGAAGTTTACTCCCTGGGGAAGATGCCTTACGAGAGGTTTAATAACAGCGAGACGACAGAGCACGTCATCCAAGGCCTGCGTCTCTACAGGCCGCAGCAGGCCTCGGAGCGGGTCTATGCCATCATGTACAGCTGCTGGCACGAGGTAAGTTACTCTGGCCCTCGGCGATCGCTCCCAACTGCCCCGCGGGGGGCTGATGGCTCCTCCGGGAGCCGTGGGGTGGCCGGTGGGCTCCAGCAGGTCTCTCGGTTCTCGCACGGCAGAAGGCCGAGGAGCGTCCCACCTTCACCGCGCTGCTGGGCAGCATCCGGGACATCACGGACGAGGAGCCCTGACCCCCGGCTGGGCCAGCCCGGCCCGCTGGTACCACCGGGCTGATGCTGCCCCACCACCGCCCGTCGGAACGGCCCCGCGCACCGGACGGTACCTCAGCACCTCACGGACACGGCACCGGCCACCCCCCGGGACTTAGCAGGGGCCTGAGGGGCCGCCACCGCTACCGCTGTCACCGGCAGGGCCCCTCACAGCCAAGGACAGAGGCGGGGAGGCGGGGGAGCGGTGCCGGTTGGCTCCACAGGGTGCAGGCGGCGGCGGGCCGGGCCTGTGCACAATAAACGGTTCCTAAGGCCGACGCCTCGCACCGGCACCGCCCCGCCGCTAGGGGGCGCGCTGCGGCGGCGG